CTGTTTATCATAGGCCATCTCTGACCACCACTGGGGAGTAGAGTTTTACATCTGTTTATCATAGGCCATCTCACTACTCAGTATTTCTGACAGTTCTAACGTCAGTGGGGCGGAGAGACTGCAGCAGTCTGAGCACTGCCTGGACAGATTTACACACAAAACCTCACCATACTAGTGTGATTTTCCTGTGTTCTAAATATTTTCTAATGCACATAAATACATATGAATTCTAAAAGCAAGTAATAATGTTGAATTTGTTGAGTGCAATGAATTGAATTTACAAAACAATCTGATTGAGTTTTTATTGTCAATAAAATCAGCGGATTGTTCTTTTAGGTGTTGTTTGATTTTATTTGAGCTTCTGGCATAAGTTAGGATACTTTTGTGTGAATCATCTGTTCATGATCTCTTTGACCTGTATAGTAAATTACTTAAGTTTGTCCAGTGATTTATTTTGGTGGCTGATTTCCAAATGCATAAACAATCTAAAAATTTATGATAAACCCATTAATTTAGACACTGGGCAAATAGAAATCAATAGGATACTGGTTCAGAAAAACCAGGTGCTAGTTTAGAGAAACTGGGTTACAGTTTAAAAATGAAATGGGTTTTGGTTCAGAGAAACAGGACACCAGAGGGACAGGGTACTTGTTCAGAAAACAAGAGGCCCATGGGCCTTGACGATCATCTGATATATTTTTACAGAGAGTTGATTTTGTTGTTAACATGAACAGAAATATTATTCAAAGTGACAACAACAATAAAACCACCTTATTCAATATCTAGCATACACATTTAAGACTAAAAAGTATTTGAAACTAGCACCTCTGAATCTAAACAAGGAAAATGAAGAAATTTTAGCACACTGACTCCTTTGAGCCCCACCCTACAGCCCTTGGGGGTAGGGCTGGCTCAAAATTTTCAAAGTATCAAACTGTCAACTCAAGGTTATTATTCCAATCAAGTTATTAACATGTAATATTCAAAGTATCAAAATTTTGCCCCCCCCCCTTCTTCCCCAGGGGGTGAACGTGAAACCCTAAGGTCATAAACCTGAAGACCCTTCCATCTATGAAGAGTATTTGTTTCTACCATATCTGGGTCTTGAGAAGAAGATTTTTGAAATTTCAGTAAAGTCGACCCTTTTCGGCCCCACCCATCAGCCCCTGGGGGTCAAAGTCAGAGCTGATATGTGCTTATTTTCAAACTGCTACCTAATACTGATAATGCAAACCCAAATTGAATTACTTCCAATGGAAATTAAACAAATGTTGGTCCAAAATGTGATTTTCCTATATAAACTATAGTAAAGTTTACCCCCTCCCCAGGGGGAAACGTGAGACCCCAGGGTCAAGAAATTCGCAATTTTGGTAAATCACCTTAAGCCCCTTCCATATATGAAGAGTATTTGATTCTATCATATCTGGGTCTTGAGAAGAAGATTTTTGAAATTTTAGTCAATTTGACCCTTTTTGGCCCCGCCCCTCAGGCCCCAGGGGGCTTGGGACTTAACCGGCCATTATTTTTGTTGACCTTTGCCCATGGAAGGTCCCTGCAAAATTTCATTGAAATTGGTTCAGGGGATTTGGAGAAGAAGATTTTTGAAATTTTAGTCAATTTGACCCTTTTTGGCCCCGCCCCTCAGGCCCCTGGGGACGTATTGGGACTAAACTGGCCACTATTTTGGTTGACCTTTGTCCATGGAAGGTCCCTGCAAAATTTCATTGAAATTGGTTCAGTGGTTTTGAAGAAGAAGTCGAAAATGTAAATTGTTTACGGACGGACGACAGACAAAAGGCGATCGCAATAGGTCACCTGAGACAAAGTCTCAGGTGACCTAAAAAGGGTATCGTTTCAAAAAACAGGGCACCAGTTCAAAGAAACATGGTACAGGTTCAGAAAAAAACTTGTCGTTTTAGAAAAACAAGACACCATTTACGAGGTAACAAGGTACTGGTTAAGATTTCAGTGGTTGTAAAACTCTGATATCTGGGAACTGACAGGGTATACAGGCTGTCCATATATAATACACCTGTAACATGGAGGGTCCCACTCACCTGCATCACATGACTGATGGACTCGCGCTCAGACAGGATCTCACTGAGGTTCTTGGTTCCTAGGACGTTTCGGAGAGTTGTGGCAGCGAGAAGTCGTGTTGATCTGTTCGCGTCCTCCACATTTGTGATAGACATGGTGGCATTCTGAACACGATAGTACACAACCGCATCCACAGCCACTGTCACCGAGTCCTTGGTCAGAACCTACAAAAATAAATACTGACATGACAGTAGGACCGAGGATGTCAAATGCTCTAGGTCTCATGGCAGGCAAGGGATGTCAAACACTCTAGGTCTCAAGTCTGACCAGGGATGTCAAATGCTTTAGGTCTCATGTCAGACCAGGGATGTCAAATGCTCTAGGTCTCAAGTCTTACCAGGGATGTCAAATGCTCTAGGTCTCAAGTCTGACCAGGGATGTCAAACACTCTAGGTCTCAAGTCTGACCAGGGATGTCAAATGCTTTAGGTCTCATGTCAGACCAGGGATGTCAAATGCTCTAGGTCTCATGTCT